CTTGCCAGGCAGGCCCTATGCCACTGAGGTATATCCCTAGCCCAGAATTACGTATCTTGAAAGCTTGTCTATGTTTAAAAGTTTTCATCTTCAAGTTAATACATCTCATTGTGGTGCAGGTTTTATTTAGAAATTCCTGTAAAAACAAGTTTGTCAGCTGTTGGTGATGTGCAAACCTGTAATCTCAGCACTCTAGGAGACTGAGGAAGGAGAACTATAAATTCATTCCAGCCTGGGCAATTTAGTGATTTAGCAAGACCCTGCCTCAAAAAATAAAGGGCTGGAGATGAACCTCAGTGCAAAGGGGCTGAATTTAATCCCCAGCACCAGAACGAAAACCAAGCCCAGAGTCTCCAAGCATGTTTGTAAAGTGTTGATCAATTTCGGATTGATTACTTCAGAACTGGATATCGAGTATGGATTTTGAGGTTTTCAGTATATTGCCAAATGTATTTCCAAGAAGGCTCAGTGGATTGTATTTCCAGCTTGTGATCTTTTGTCTTTCGTAGCCTTCAGAATTTGTTTTTGAAGCACAAAATGAGACAGTTCCCCGCCGTACTAAGATCCGGGCATGAAGCCATCTATAGATCTCCAGCCACTCCCCTCTTGACTGCCAGCTGAACATTTCTTTGGGGGTGGTTTCGCACTTACTTTGTAACTGAGGTCCTACAGACTGTTTGCTTTTAGTTTTGAGATAGGATCTCCTTAAGTTCCCCTGGCTGGCCTCAAACATTTCACCCTCCTGCCTCAGCCATTTGATTACATTGTGTTTGTTCTCTTTTTCCAGTGGACTCAAGCCCACTGTATGTGGTGTTTTAAAGTAGTCACCAGGTTACCAGGACCTTTTTTCACCTGCGAGGGTGCCAGGCAGGGGTTTGGGTGTGGGTGAGCTTCCTTTTCATTTCTCCCTCCCTACTGCTTTAACAAGGACTAACACGGTCATGGGCTCTGTCATTGTCCTTTTTCATTATTAATAATCATTATATTCACTAAATACTTCCGCACTTTTTGGTTGGCGGGTAATGCAAGGTGCTTGACCATTCTGCCCTGAGTTTTACAACTACCTTTATTTTCTAGTCTTGTTCTATTCCCAATGTTTTCATTGCATATT